GTCGTAAATGGCGCAAAAAGGCCACCCCACACTGGCATGATGGGGCTATGATGATGTAAGAATAGGCATCACAAAATCTGAGTTTCCAAGGGAAAGGTTCAAAGCAAACATAAGGCTGCATGTTCTTCTTATCCCGGGCACACGGACAAGGTCCCTGAATCATGAGCATTTCCTGAGGTAGTCAACCTTTCCATGTCCAATTTCAGAGAAAACGGTTCGGAACCCCAAAGCCCCAGAGCAAAACGCAAGAACTGGCACTATGGGGGTTGTCTGCCAGAAAGTCTGTCGGCAAAAGGCATTCCACACACCAAACAGAAGCTTTCCCACAGATTGCGTCTCACAAAACTCCTATGTCCCCAGCCTGCTATTGGTGGCAATTCATGTGTTTTCATATTTCTTGGACACATTGTCACATTGCTTTCATGGTTTTATTCGGACAACCGTCCCATCCGCCCCCTCCCTGGTGTGTCCAGCACCCTGGCCCGGATGGAGTCAGCTCCATGCCAGACCAATATCACATGACCGGTCAGCCAACCCAGCCTGAAGCTGAACGTGCGAGTCGGGCCAAGCACGAAAACATCGAAGCTAAGATGTCCACATGACCAGGTGAGTTAGCCTTCCAAGCAGCTAATTGCATGGGCGGGGGGGGCACGAATCATCTCAAAATGTATACCTTTCCAGGAAAGTGATGGACGGTGATGGACATATACAGTAGATAAACGTGATCTCGTGCTGACACCAACCTGATTTTCCACGAATGATGTCATTGTGGCTGAACTACTTCCATTAATGACCTACTAATGTTGCAGGCAGGTTGTGGTTTTACTATCAGCTATATAAGGATCCACGTTGTGGCTTTTCCTATGCTTTACTTTCTCTCTGCTAATGATCCACCAATGATCTAGGTAGATCCAGGTATATGGTTTTACTTGCTGTCCACCATTGCTCCACCAATGCTCCAGGTTGTGGTGTTACGTTCTGTCCACTAGTGATCCGCCAATGATCTTTATGGCGCCACTATGTTCCTTCTCCTGTCGTACGACGCTCGCCCACCAACTCGCTGAAGCTGACTTTGGTGACGCGATGCCGAACTCGGTACGACGACCTTCGCTGCAACAAATTCACAACCTGCAAACTACCTTCGGGCAGAAAGCGCATCATTTTGCACTTGCAGGGAACTTTTTTTGGGCTCCCAGCACTGAAGCCCCTCACCTGGGAACCGCCAAGACAAAGTCCTGAGCCTTGTTCTCATCAGACATCTTTGACTCTGAGGATGACGAGGATGTGATGTATAAATGACTGTCATAGTTAAACATAGTTATACAATTCCTCATCCTCTTTGGCAGAGTGTCGTGCAAGTTCCACCTTTGGACCCTCCAAAATGTTGCACCCCACTCCCTGGACTGGACACCATCAAAGCACCCTTCATGTGTGGCTTGCTGTTCAGGACGCCTACCTAACTCTGAGGGCCTAAAATGAATGCCCGGGGCCGGTCGGCCCTTGTTGCCAGATCCTCAGGTGAAGGTCGATGCCCCCTGTTGCAAGCGCCGGGCGAGATGGCTCGGCAAATGGCTTTGCCGCGGCGACACGCCGTAGACGCGGGCGCGGTAGTTCACCGCCGGGCTCGGTGGGGCACCAGCATAGTTCGGATAGCTCCCCACCGATCTGGGCTGGTAGCTGCTGTTTTGGACCATTCCTCGGGTTGGAAAAGCGCCAACTCTCCCAGGGCTGGGGTATTCAAAGGTAGATTGGTCATTAGGTTCATTAGGTCCATGTGATTGGAATCCTATGTGCATGACATGTGACATGCGCATTGAAATGCCAACATGCCTGCATGATAGTCAATTGAGATTAAGAAGTCACTAGCTACCCGTTCTCAAAAAGTCAAACAGTGTTCATTGGTCAGCTATTGCAAGGGAGATCTACTACACTCTGACTCACTAACATGGAAGTGGAAACAATGGCCTTTGCGAAGACTGTTTTCCTTTACACACCTCGGGGTTTTCCACTTGCATGTTTGTTCCACAAAGAGTGCATTATAGGCTTCCTGACCCGCTTCTTCAGCCAATTGTCCATGTGTTCGTGGGACTTCTATCGTTTCGGGTTGTTGAGGTCGTTGGAGGAGTCCCTACTCGGTCCTACTGCCCTTTGCCGAGGACTGCCTTAGCCCTACGGCTCGGCCCTCGGCCGAAGCCCCACGGGGAAGGTATGTGCTGGGGAGGGCTTAAAGAACAGGATACGATGGTTGTTGGCGTCCAAAACCTCTTTCCAAAGCATCCCGACAGGTGCGAGTCGTCAACTAGGAGGGTCGAGAGGATCTACAGTTTTAGATGGCACTGTCAGGGCACCCAAGTTTGGTAGTTTATGTGGACCCCCATCTCAAAGACATCTCGTGGCTTGTGCCATTGAACCTCTTAAACCACTGTAGCTTGGATCCATGCACAGCTGGCCTGGCCCGGCAGGCATTCTATATCACCACTCCGGAGTGAGTTCCAGATTAGAGTTGCCCATCCCAACCTTGATAATTATATATATAACTATAAAGTACTACACACACATATATATTATATTTTTATCTCGATTTACAGTATATTGTACTTTATGTGCGAGTAATTCTGAGTAATCCATGCACGATACCTGTGAGTACATGTATGTGAGTCATTCATGTCAATGAAGGGCTTCTCACCCAGACACGCATCATCCACATCCCGTTGACACTCCCGTCCCAGTTTTCCAGGGTTCCAGGTGACATCACCATGGTCGGCGTTGAGATGGGTACCGAATGCCGTGCTTGAGAGGAGAGCCAGGGTGGCAGCTTCTTCGAGGGTGCCGGGGTGCCTGGCGTTGAAGGCAATGAGGTGGGAAGAGACGGGCAGGGGTCTTTGTCTGAACCATACATGGAACCCTCAGAGATTCACAATGCATTTCTTTATATGTATAGACTGTATAGAATTATAAGGACAAATCAGCGGACGGGTCCAAGAACACTGTAATTCATTGTGATTCACTAGATCGGAAACGCAACCATGTCTGTTGGACAGTACCTGTCGTTCGCCCTACAGAAACCCCACGTGTCGAAGAAACACCTCAGTCGAATCGAACACGCGGTAACTGGGAGGTGACGTGGTAACTGGGAGGTGTTCTCCAAGGAACCTTCTCCAGGAATCTGAAAAATTACATTCACTAGACTGCCCAAAAATAAAAGAAATCCAACCAAAGTGTCCCTGTCTGGATGCTTTAGTGTGGAGTTGATTCTGCGAAAATCCAGACATCGTAATGTTCATTACGGTTCCAATAGGCCGACCTTGCCCCATATGGTGAAGCTTACCACAGGGACCGCGAGAGTCTGTCTTCCACTCCAAGAACTCGTGTGGTCCGCCGGGTCTCGGCTTCAGCCCAAACGAAAGCACGCTTCGTTGGATTACCCCTTCTGCGAAGACAACACCAGGACAAATACCAACTTGGAAGAAAACCAAATCAAAAACACACCCAGCCACACCATTCTGGGCCAGCCTCCTGGGGTAGCGATGTATCCCCCACCATTCTCGCTGAGCGCGTTGTCCTCCTCAATCCTCGGACCAGGAGGTGCCGTTTCACTGGGAACCTTCAAACGGCGTGGGCGGTGGGCGGTGGAACGTCAACACGGTGAGGCATGGCGAGGCAAGGCATCGAGGCATCAGCCCATTTGCACAGCTTGGGGTCCATGTCACGAAGATGATCCCCCCATGTGCAAAGCACCAAGTAGGTCGGTGAAAGCTAGGAGCATCGAGGGACGTCAACTCAAGATGGCCTGACGAAACTGGTTCAGTGCTCTTCAACTCAACTTTTGGTCGACCCCCACAAAAAAAGAAAGAACAACACATCGACACGAGGGAACCAAATTCTTCAGAACCAGAAGTGGCACGATGCCTACGGCCTACGTAATTAGGATTAATCCCCCCCCTTCGAGGTCAACAAGGCATTGGAGACCACATCCCCTCAATAAAGGTGATGACCTGATGATGGATGATGGTTGATAGGATTCTGTGTGAACACTGAGGCCTACGAGAGGGGTACCCTTTGTGAGCTTCAAAACGTTAAGATGTTTTAATAAGGAAACATGAAATACTGTAATTTTGCTAGGGAGGCTTTTAGGTTTTGTGGAAGAAAGATTGCTGGGGAGAACATTGGCAGCTTAGATTGCAGCTGTAAAACAATTAATATACTGATGTTGTTCAATTTTCCTGGGGGGCAGCTGAGCGCTGGGCTTGATTAATAGGGGGAAGTTGTTGCATGTTTTTGCCAAGGAAAAACTTATTTGGGTGATTGATGTGGAATTCAGGTTTAAACTATATATGTAGTTTAGTATTGGGGGCTCGAGCTGGGCTTGATTAATAGGGGGCGGGGGAGGTGACTTAATCCTATAGGTGCGCATGACCTTTCGAAACCGTCCGCTCCGAACCATGGTCGGTCAAAAACCAGGCCATGTGTCCATTCCTGAGTTCTTGAGGTGTGGTATCTAAGCCCTCTAAAGGCCACCAGGTGAACTGGTACACCCTCTGACTGGTCTCATTTAGTGCGAAGGGGCTGCGGATCTGGATCTAGCAGCAGCCCCCCCCCAAAAAGAAACACAAGTCGCTTTGCCACGGGCTGCGAACACATGCATCCGTGTACACCTCCCCCGAACACTTCCAGCCTTTCGGGGGGGTTCTTGGTCGGCCGCTGTTCCATCGCAACGAGTCCGCCAAAACCAAAACCACCAACGCCACGAGCTGCTTGGGCTCCGCCACATCCGTCGCGCCGCCGTGTTTTCGTTCCAAAGCCATGGCTCGGCTGCAACGGGTTCTCGCTGAGCTCCCCAGAGCTCTCGGAGATCCTCGGGCGAGTGAGCGAGGCAGCGCTGGAGCGGTCCAGGGAGCTCTTGAAGGGAAGGAAGTCAATCTTGACTCTTGACCGTTACCCCGGTGTGGGGGGCAGTAGAAAAGACATGAAAAAAGAAATGAATTCTTAAAGTATATTATTTATGTATAGGTTAAAGTAGCACTTTTGTCAAGGTGGCGGCGACAAGAAGCACTCGTTGCAGGATGTTTCATCAAGCCGGATAGTTTTCTGCTGCCGCGATTCTGTGTCTGCAGCTCGCAGATCACACGATCTTTCTCAATGATCTGGTACTGTACCTTGGTTGCACTCACCACTTCTACGCACGGCTGCTTAGTGAGATGGACACGACGCTGAATCATCGCCATCGGCCACCAGCACTCTAACTGGTGGGTCCGACGGTGCAGGATGACATGTCTTTCCTTGAACGACTGACATTTGTTGTCCGCATCTTTTCCCTCTTCATTTCTTTTCTCCACATTGAAGGTCCACATCTCTTCACCCATCTTCGACCCCAGTCTCGGTCTCCGCCACTTCATCTCAGGCGCTGCTTGGCGTTTGGAAAGCTCATCCGCCAGTTGCTGCTGCAAGCTGCACACCTCCCGCTCCTGCACGCGCGTCCAATGACCGCGGAACTTGAGAACATGCCAGACTTCCTGCCAAGATGTAAGCCAGATTTGCAACAACGGCCTTCTCGCCCCACAAAGATCCTGTAGTTGAATGTTGATTGATAACCTCTCCCCAAGGATTAACTCCAGATTTGGATGCAAAAATCTCCATCCGGGGGGTTGTCAAAGCACTACTACTTATTTGGGACACAATCACCAGAGATCTCCTCTATATAACCACTGTGATCACAGTAGTCTCTGAACTCATCTGGACCCCATGGCTTAGAGAGGATAAAAACGGTACATAACAACCTGAACCATCCATAACCCCTTGGTAAGCCATTGGCTGCTGTTGTGGCCACTTAGATGCCAAACTTGGAGAACGGAACACCAGTTCAACGATGTCAATGTCAACGTCCCAGTCGATGTATGTTGTTGGTTGTTTTCAATTCTCTTGCCCCACCTGCATACCTCTCTACCTCTACCGAGCGCTCTCGACCGTCTCAACCGCCGCCGTCGGCACCATCGTCGGCACCGGCACCGTCGGCACCGTCGTCCTTTTCGATGACTTGCTCTTGGATGGCTTGCTGGGCCGACAGCCTGGAGACATGGCACTTGCTTTCGGAGGCGCCGCGAGTTCTCCGCGGGGTGGTGGTGGTGTGCGAGGGTTCGAGTCGTGGCTGTTACACACGTCGGCAGGCAGTCACAAAATAAGGGAAGAAGCCACAAGGAAACTCATGCATGATGGCATCATGGCAATGGAAAACGCATAAGGAGAGAGAAGGAGTGATACACACAAATTATTGATCAATTTACATTCGTTAAACGTTGTTTTACGTACATTCATGATTGAGGATTATTGCGGTATATATTGAGATACAATATATTGAGTATGTAAATCCTTGACCCACTGGACTGTTTGTGTGCTTGGGGCATGTTGGGGCACATTGCGATCAAGATTGTCCCTGACTCAAGGGGCATGGGGCCGCATTGTATATAATTTGTATAGGATTTATGTAATATCGACTATTATATAAGCAGCTGGAACATGGTGAGACACTGAATCCGTCAGGCCAGGCGGATTGAATCGGGATCACCAGGAAATCCAACACGAACACCAATTCAACGGGTAATGGAAGTTGCTGTGGATCATTCACGCCCCCAAGTTGCTGTGGAATCAACCCAAACAGCAACCATTCGGGTCAACCCGAACGGATGTGACCTGCTGGTGACCTGCTTTCTCCTTCCGCCGCCTGTCGATGGGCTCTTCGCGGCTCCAGGCGTCTTTGAGCAAGCGCTCCTGGCGTTGGAGGTCCGCGGCTCGGAGTTCCGTTCCACCCAGTCTGACCGGTCGAAATGGGATATGAATGCAGTTATATACCGGACGTGTCAATGAGATGAGGATGCCCGACTTCTTGCAATAGAAACATGGCTGGACAAAAAGGGCTGATTCCACCGTGGGTGAGCAAGCCGAAAAAGATCGCTCAAACATCTGGAGAAGCTCCCCCAACTCTTCAATTCCCAGTGGGTCAATGCACCAGTTTAACCATGCAGTTCTTGAGTAGCAAAACGGGAGCTGGAAGCTTGAAAAGGCAATTAAAAACCGCGAAAAGGACAGGCCGTGAAAAACCTGCAACAATTAGGTCTTTGAAATGCGTCCTTTTTGCTAACGCACCAGATTAACCTGTCGTTTGGACTTGCTGGGGTTGTAAGTTATACCCAAACGCTCCATGTTTGCCATATATGCTTACATTGACCCCCCAAACCACCCCAATGTCGGCAAATATGGCATAATTACATGGAGTGTCTGGGATATATAGATTAGAATAGCTTTGCCGGCGACATGCAAAGGTCCTTCGACTTTGCTTTCGCCCTGCCCCGCCTTTTCCACGAGCTGCTTTTGGGCAGCCTGACATGGCAGAATCACAGCGTTGTTGTTCTATTTCTCCTTCTCTGGCCCTAGCCAATCCTATCCATTCAACTTGAATTGTCACTCAAGGCTCAAGTTGCTGGTAGGAGTACGGGATGATCAGGTCTAGCATCACAAGAATCCTATCGAATCCTCACCTCCGGATGTTCCTGGAAGTTCTGTCCATCCTTGACATCAACCATCCCGCACCAACTAACAACAAAAATCAACAAAGATCAAATAGATCTTTCAAGAAGCCTGATATCTCTTGAGACCTGAGAAGGTCAGTCAGTGCCTGCCCCCCCAAAAAACACCAATGCTCCCCCTCGTGGGTGTCTTCTCGGTTCCGCTTTCGGCTCCACTGCGTGCTGGGCATCACCTGGCGTTGCGTCAGCTCCTCCGCGAGCTGCCGCTGCAGCTCCACGATCTGCGACTCCTGTTCGCACGATCTGCGGAGCTCAAAGGTAAGGACCGTGGATTGAAAGAGAGAGGGTCGGAAGGACAGTGTTTCATGTTTTTCGAGCTGAAAAACCTAGAAGGTAGAAGATCTGAGAACATGATCAATCATTAGCGTATGACATATACAGTATGCGAACGGGCGTTAGTCAGTGTACGTATCCGTGAAACACAACAGAGACCACCTCAGGTTGCCATGCAGCTGTATTGTGCTCTTTTCCTGTTCACATGGGTTTGAGCCAAACAATTGAATTTTATATACAGAAAAACAAGATTCAAAGTTCCATAAAATTCCAACAACCTAGTCTAAGCTCAGCCCTTGGCGTGAACATCTAGTTCACTATGCTCAGAACCACTCACTAGATCTTCGTCGCCATTTGAGCATGTTGGTCAGACAAGCTCTATCTTCGAAGTCGGAATGAAAAACATGCACTCAGCGATCATACACCAGAACACTCAGAAAGATCCGATCAAAATGATGAATCGGAGAACACCTTCTGCTCCCTTCACATGGATCTGAATATGGTGCGGCTCGAACAGTGACCCAACAAAAAGAAGGATCACCTCTATAGCTTTTGCATCCTTTCCGGCTTGTGCACACAAAGCTAGTTGTGGTTGTTGACCGGTGGAATGGAAATTCCTTCTCGGGTCACCTCCTTGTGTCATCTAAAGACAAATCTAAAGACCATTTCTAAAATAGTTTTGCACTCCCGGGGAGTGTTTCCATGTGTGCAAAAGCTACATGCTTAGTGGCCGAATGGGTCACTGCAACTGCCTCAAGTTCTCGCGTCCATCGGCCAAGCGGATTGACGTGTCCTTCGCGGATAGACGGGTCATCCTGAGGCCGGTCATCCCAAACACTCCGACTGGAACATATGCCGCCCCAACTGCAGCCCACACCACCCCATTGAACGGCAAATATGGCACGCATGGAGTGTCTCCATGACATGCCATGACTTCCACGTAGCCATGATCATTCCAGGGATTGCATGCCCCCAAAAAGCATCAACAAAAATGCTCAACTGGGACAGGGCCCAGCTTCACTCAGCTCACCAAATGGGTGTGTATTCAAGTAGTAGGGAGATCGACCACCAGTCGACCCATCCAGGGGCGAGAGGACTTGGGTGTCTCCCGGATTTCGACGACGGCGCCGATTCCCATCGAGCGGCCGGTGTCGGGCCCCGAAAAGGAAGACGACGTTTCCGGGAATTTCTGTGCACTTTCGGTGTGTTTCGTGGGTGTGGGCACCTCTCCGCAGCACGTCATCATGAGCCGAACACGTTCTGCGCGCCGAGGAACACTTCGCTCTTCTCGAGTTTGGAGTCCCTCAGGTCGCCTTCATACTGTAGAACCTTCTGCTCGCGTCGAACTCGCTCCTCCCAAAGCGCCAGGAAAGCGGGCGGGTGTTCCCTGTGATCTGTTTGTGTGTTTGGTTCTCAAGCGCGACCCAGGCCGTTTGGCGTGTGGGGTGGGAGAACAAGCCGTTGGGAGCAGGTTCTTGAGCCGCAAAAGAATTTGAGAAGCGGAACTTACTTACTCTCCCTGGAACTAACATGGAAGTGGACAACCACCTGTTTGTAGTGTGGAAAATGGTCTTCCAAGAGGCCGTTCTCCACTTCCATGTTAGTTCCAGGGAGTCTATCTGCAAGTTACGCAATTCAATCCAAGATTCCTTCTGGCTGGTCCAGGAACATCCTCCCCGGTCCGTCCAAACCCCGCCCCTCAGCTCCCCAGTCCAAACGGGGTCTTCGTCCCGCTCCCCAGCCGAACAAGACCAGTGCCAGTCAGTCTTCGGCGAAACACACCGCGAGCTCTTCACATCGCACTCCTCTTCTTCGTTGCTCAGGCGTTCCCGCAAGTGTCGCAGCTGCCCATCACGGTCTGCGACCAGGCTTTCGGTCTCTCGTCGGCGCTTTTCCTGGACAAAGACGAAGAAAAGCACGGTCAGGCGGCCGGCCACGTTTGGGGAAAAAAAGGCAAGCCACCACTCTTCCACAAACCAAAGAAAGAAGTCCTGCATAGTCCTGCACTTGCATCCGAAAGGCTACCTTATACATGTGTATATAGCCTTTTTTGTGTCTCTAGCCACGCCAATTGCTGGGTCATCATCCAAAAATGCAAAGCTGCTACTGCCTTGGTGATGGTCAGAATATGTCAGAATCAGTTGTAAGTCTTACTCGCCTCAATGAACATGTTCAATGTTTGGGGCAATTGTTTGCATATTTCATGTTCGATCGATCTCTACCACTCCAAGCCCCCCATAACGGTTCCAAAGCGAGATCCTTTCTGCACACGAGATCTAGCTGGGGATCAGGAGATTAGAAGGCATAGTGTATGATGTGTATGGCAAGGCGTTGATCTGTGCATTCCGGTCAAATCCGGGTTCATGTTGTGCAGTCCTCGCTATTCAAACGCTCCTGCAGCTCCCCAATGACCTTGGTGACAACTTGGGACTGTAGCCGGTCAAATCCAAACCAAAACATCTACATCGCATACCAGGCCATCCTGGCTCCTGGAAGCGGCAAGTCGCACAAAAAAAGAGCAGCGAGTTAGGAGGGTTTCTAGGTGTCATAGTGTCCTCGAACTACAGTAGTACTGATGCTTGCTCGTCTGCCACATCCAGAGAGGGGTAGATTTGCTATGCACTCTGAATCACTATATTACATGGAAGTGGAACATGGTCCCTTATAGAAGACTACTTTCCTTTATGAACAAAGAGTTTTCCACCTCCATGTTTGTGAGTGGGAGTGTACTGTAATTACTCTGCGCATATGCTGGTCCGGCAGGGGCGCGGGGCTGTTGAACCAAAAGAGTAGCGCACCCCTGTATCATAGCAACAATCGTTGTTCCGGGGACCTTTGTCAACGGAACATGTTTCACCACACAATCTAAATGTCCTGGAAATAGATGTTAAATTGACCTTGACTGTGCAATCCCCTGAGGATCTATGCTATAGAGGCCATCATTGTGAAAGAAACACACAGAACCTGCTGGCCATAGCCTGTACATAGACCCCCAAATAAATAGATACGATAGAGAAACACATATTTTTTTTGTCCGGCTCTTTTCAGCATGAACGAGTTTGTTGGACTCATGCCAACATCTGGCGGATATCGTGAGAGGCGGATGTGGAGCACCGCCGCTGGAGCTTCTCTGTGAGCTTGACCTGCTCGTCCTGGATGCGTGCCCTTGAATGGCACCGAAGGCATTCAACCACATTGCCCGTACGGTTCATGTGGTGAGTTGGGTGCCCGAACCAAAGACTGCTAGCCAGAGGTCCGTGATGGCAAACTTCCCCAACGAAGCGGTTGAAGATCTCCTCGCCTGCCCTGGCCAGCACATAGCTTCTGCAACGGGTGCAGCGGAGATACGCTTTCTCCAAGCGCAGTTGGTGGGTGCCAGGCGGAACCTCGCCTTGGCTTTCCAGAAGATCATGGATGACCTCAAAGCGAGTCTTCTTTTGTGCAACCTTGGGAGCTGCTTGAGTGCAAGGCGCAGTGAGGCCTTCCCGTAGCTCCTTGATCAGCGATTTGGTGTGGTAGCGCACACGGCAGTGTGCACACTGGATGCCTGACCTGAAAAGCTGCCATTGATGACCCTCTGCCTGAGGGTTCTTCAAGTAGCTGGCCAAAAGGTCCTTCTTCTGTTGGACCAGAGGGACTTTCAGGTTGTCCACCACGGCAGCCTTGCGATGTAGAAAGTGCTCCTTACAAGTGAGGAGGATGTTCATTCTGTTGCCGGCCACACTTAGAACATCTCGAGTGTCTTCATCAATGTGTTTCTGAAGATCGATGATCTCTTCTGGCCTGGCCAGGAGTGCTGCCTGGGTTGCCTTGGCCTGTGTGTCACGCTGAAAGGCTTTCCTGTTGAGATTCGAGTCCATTTCTCGCCTGTTGAAGAGGAGGAAGATGAGCAGACGGACCTGATCAAAATCCTCATGCTCCAATCCCATGCTGAGGTCTGGGAATCGCTCATGGGCAGCAAAGAAGGACCAATGTTTCCAAATGGCATGTTCAAAGACCGCCACATGCACCTTGTCCCTGATGTGGAGTGAGAGGTGTTTCAAGCCATAGAACAGGGCTCTCAACCGAGTGGCTTTGCCAGGACAAATGCCAGTGAAAGAGGCAACCCTTTCTTTGGTGAAGACCTGGTGAATGCAGATGGCAAAGACGAAGCGCCGATGACGAGGATCTTTGGACGTGGGAGCCACTGCCAAAGATACTGCATGTCCGGCAGGCAGATTGCATGCCTCCAGATCCGCCCAAAGGCCTTCTCCCGAAAATGTGGCCATGCCGCCATCCGGAATGTAGAAAATGGACTGAGTCATTCCCCTATTCCATAGTTCAGGCTCGGAGTTGGCCTGGATTCTGTCTCGCCATTGATCCGGAAGTGGTTGGACACGTCCTTCCCAGAAACTGCACTCCCACAAAAGGTGGATGAAGGTCAAGTCCACGCCACACAGAGGACAGGTCCCAGTCTGCCCGTGGAGAGTGCCTTGATGTAGGGCCCGGATGCCGACGGCAGCTTTCTCACTAGTCATCTTTTGGAGGGTTTTGCTGACGCTCCAATCCAACTTCCTCTCCAAGTCATGGCAGCCCTCGTACCTGGTCAAGCGCAGCAATCGTTGCCACTGGAATTCCTCAGTTAGCTTGTGTTGGATCTCAGGCCATAGGGCTTCGAGGCTGATGCAGCAATCAGGAATGCCACCATAGCCTGTTCTCTTCCAAAGCTTGCCATTGGAGATGTCAAAGTCATAATCAAGCAGGTAGGCTTGGAGCGCTTGAAGAGGGCCTGTGACGACTTGCCAGCGATGCTTGGCCTTGAGGAGGAGGTCCAAGGCAGAGTTCCAACTGATCCAAAAGAGGTGCTGAGCACTGGAGTCAAAGGAATGCAGTACTTTCCAAACCGTGTGGATGTGTTGGAGGATGATGGAGTCGCCAGGATCACTCTTGTCTGAATGCATGTCGAAAACGACATCAACGGAGCCTGATCTTTGGAGTCCGAGGCCTCTGCCAGCCAAGACCCGAAGTTGTTGTCGTCGTTGTGGAGCAAGTCCATTGGCTTGGGCGCCCCAAGACATCACTGGGTGAATTGCACCTCGATGTAACCGGTACTTGGTCGCATTGCCGAGCTTCAAACGGAGCATGATGCCTACCCGGCCTCTGCCCTTCAAGAATCGTTTCTTGATTTGGGTGATGCGTCTGCGCCGGGAGTTGGTGGCGTCAATGCCCAGGTCCCTGAGGATGTTGTGGTGCTTGGGATCGTCTTCTCGGAGCTGAGCCTCGAGGGCTTTTGCAGACTCTTTGCTGCTTGTGATGAAGCCGGTTTTCTCCGTATTCAGCTTCAGCCCCTCGTCAGCGAGGTTGGCTTGCAAGGTCCGGAAGGCCAGGACCGCCTCACGGGCCACATAGTCCGGATCGGTGCCCTTGATGTCATAAGAAACGTCGTCCACCCAAGTCTGCAGGATGACCGCCGGGTGCTCTCGGACCAGGGTTTGGAGCGGTCGGTGAAGCACCAGCTTGGCAATAGCCGGGGCTTGAGGGCATCCTTGCAGTATGCCGTTCTGGTAGTGCTTGGGGTTGCCTGCAATGCCTTCGGCTTGAATCAGCCTGGGTCCGGTGTAAAGGTCCAGAGCGAGCTTGAGGTGGAGAGGAGGGTAATTGAGGTTGGTCGCTGGCTCAATGAGATGGTCCAGTTGCACCGTGTCGTAGAAGCAGGTGAGGTCAGCTAGGCAGGTGACAGTGTGTATGCCCTGGTGCTTCCCAATCTCGGCTTTGAGCATGCGACCGACCGCTATCGAAAGACAGTCCTTGTGTGGCCTGGCGTGATCCCATGGCATGTCCTTGTCTAGACCCAGCTGCCACTTGTGCAGTTCAGCCTTCCGGTAGCTGTTCCAGAGCCGGTAGAGGCAGGAGGTGAGCGCAATGGGTCTTTCGATGCGTTCATTCTTTGGAATCATCACGATGTTGGTGTGGCGCATCTGCATTGGCAATTCTGCTTCCTTCTCCATCTCATTAAGGAGATGGGAGAGTTTCTCCACTGCAGGATATGGGAGGTGCCGCAGGAAGTCATAGGAGATGCCATCAGGTCCTGCAGCCTTGTTCGGGAGCCGGCGCATGATCTTCTGAAGAAGACTGGAGTCAATCGGCTTCAGCTGCAAGGCATGGGCCTGGGCCACCCGCTTCAACTCCTGTAGACCTCGTAAATGCATGGGTGCCTCACGAGGGATCCAAATGGCGCCCCACTGCTGTTCTCTGGCTGAGGTGCGTGAAGTGGGCGGTAGTTCCTGAAAGGGCTGTTGCCACGCATGGTCTTTTTGTCTCAGGCTGCGGAAGAGCCCTCGGAGTCCTTTGTCGTGTGCCTTCTCCAACCACTCACGGAACTCATGGTTGGTGGCACTGAGAAGCTGTTCTTGTGCAAGTTGTTGCTCTTGTTGCACGATCTGCTGGAGGTCAGCAATTGGCACGTTGCCGCCAAAGATCCATTTCAGGAGTTGCTCTTCGAAGCTGGATTGATCAAGCTCTTTGGAGGCGTGTTGAGAGATCCTCGATGCCATATCTTTGAGGTCTTGAAGGAGCCCTGGATATCTGCCAAGGTTGGCTAGGTTGATCTTGGCTCCAAGCTTCTCCCAAAAGGCCGCACTGCCTTTCTTCCAGACTCGTGGCTTGTTGGAGGTGGCCAAGGGAGCGTGGTACAAATGCACCTGGGAACCCCTGCCTGTGACAGGCTTGTGGAGGTGCTGATTGAGGTATTTCTCAGTTTGAGTGGCCCATCGCGCAAGATCCGATCCCAAGCCGGTGATGCACTGACCCATGATGTGAAAGGGCCCATCATCCTCGTGGAAGCTGGTCCAAAGATGCGTGGGGTGGTAGTTGCGAGTCACCGGAGGAAACCGCTGGAGCTGCTGAACAGGAAGGGCGGCTTGGTGGCAGTCAAACCGAAGAGAGAGGGCACAGTGAGGCTTCCACGGAACTTCCCAGTTTGCGTCAAGGTGCAAGGCTGAGGCAATGGATGTGGACGCCAAAATGAAATCCAAGTGACTGCCTTGCAGCGTAGTTGGACCAGGGGTGGCAAGGATCTGGGCACGAAACTTGCTGGGGATCGTGGTGGCAGCCAGATCCTCGGGAGCCGTTTGCCAGTCACCTCCAATGATGAAGGGAGCTTGAAGGTGGTCCAGGAATTGCAAGAGCTGGCCCAGGAGCTCGGCATTGAGAGGAGATTGGAGAGGCTCTCCAGTGCGAAGGTAGAGCTGAATGATGTAGAGTTCAAGTCCGTCCCGTTGCATGGCCAGAGCCGTCCAACCATTGCCTTGCTTGGTGTAGGTGTGGACATGGTGGATCAAATGCCTGGTGGCATGCAGGGTGAGAAAGCCGCCAGTTGAGCCTCCGTTGCCTGTGGGGTCAGCAGCAACACCGTGACATTTCCATCCTCGGCA